TGATTTTAGATTCATTAGATAGATCTCGATTTTCTCTTTCAAATGAATGTAAATTTATTTGTATAGCTTATTTCTACGAAGAATTATCAATGATTTTGTCATGAGAGTTATATTTGATCTTTTAAATTTTAATGATATCTTATATTAAAAAAAAATTAAAAATTATATAATTAATTAGTTTTTTTTGCATTATCTAGTATAAATTTATTATTCTTATATAAATGATAATTTATATTTGCTTTAATAAAATTATTTTTGTGTAAAAAAATTAGATTCCAAGGATCGGCCCATATGATATGGATTTCGATCCAATTAATTTAATTAATAATATTTTAAATAGATTAAGAGATAAATAGTACTGCTAATTAAAGAGTATAAACACAATAAAGGAAAATGAAATTTATTTTTTTAATACATAATACTAGTTTTCAAATTTGTTAAAGAATATTTTATGATATTGTACGGTGTTGTATTTATACTGGTTAATGTCACTACGTTAACCAATATAAATACAACCGTATAATATTTATGGCTAATGCAGATCATTCTCAAATAAACTATTGATATTTGATATTGTACACAAATAAACTATTGATATCAATATTGTATGATAATTATATTTTTGATATGTTAAGCCGTACTGAATTCATGTCAATGACATAACACAATGTGGTGCAACTTGAGATACGCTACTAATCAAATGTTCTTCCATCTTCACCACTGCTTTTATAATCATCACTATTATCAAAATTAATTTTACAGGCATAAAAACACAATTAAATATAACCTTCAAAACAACCTATTATTAATTAATATTATAGAGTTATTAGGCATGAAGTATTTAATATGGAGGTGGGTGTTGAAAGATTGTGCCACTGTATGGCACATGACAACAATCATCTATACGGTTATATCTCTGAAATCTTATTGGCATCATGAACTTATGGGATACTGGATATACTTAAATATTATCTATGATCCATTGCTCTTTTTACTAAATTTAGATATAACTATCTGATATATCATATACAGTGGCCTGCCAAAAGTGACCGATCACCTAAAAATTAATAAAATCAGTTATTTTCATTAATAATTTTTATATTTATTTTAAAATTAAAAATATAAAAACCTATTTTAAAAAGTATTTTTATACTTAATTAATAATAAAATTGTGTATAAATATATAATTTTAATGTGAAAAAAAAAATTGACTTTTTAACCAGAGCAGCTAAAGCAAAACAGATGCCAAAAATCGATTTTTCAACTAAAAATTAGCTTATTTTCAAAAAATCAGAAAAATTTGATTAGTAGTTGCTGAGAAATCCCCTCCTAAAAATCGGCAAAATTGATAATCTACATATAAAAATTATAAAATTTCACCAAATTTCATGATTTAAAAGCAGATTTTTCCAAGAACTGCTGATTAAAATTTTCTGATTTTTTGAAAATAAGCTAATTTTTAGTTGAAAAATCGATTTTTGCTATCTATTTTGCTCTAGCTGCTCTGGTTAAAAGGTCAATTTTTTTTTTCACATTAAAATTAGATATTTATACACAATTTTATTATTAATTAAGTATAAAAATACTTTAAAATAGGTTTTTATATTTCTAATTTTAAATAAATATAAAAATTATTAATGAAAATAACTGATGTCATTAATTTTTAAGTGGTCGGTCACTTTTGGCAGGCCACTTAGAGGTATGCTCCGAATCCGGTCAATCCAGATATCCGGTCATCCATCCGAAATTTGACCAGATTCGGATTGATCTGGATGATTCATCGGATTGACCGGATAGATCATCGGATATCCGGTCAATACTTGCTCACCAATTTGACCAGATGGTTGACCGGATATCTGAATAATCTGATGAATCCGATGAATCCGATGAATCTGAATTCAATTTTTTCTACTTAATACTTTTTATTAATATTAATTGACAATTAGAAATTTTTTAATAATAAACATAGTATTTATTTTTACGTTATTACACATGATTTTTAACAAATTATTTGACACAATATTTATAAAAAGTTTAAGATTTGAATCGAACCGGTTTGAAAACCCCTAAAGAAAAAAAAAGAAGAGAACGTTAAAGACTATCCAAAGACTAAAAAAACAAAATTACCCTCCCCGACTTATCTTTATATCTCAACCGAAATCCAGGTCCAGGAAGACGTCCCCCTAAAAAAAGAAATAAAAGGAACGTTAATTACGTTTCTAAAGACAAGAAAAAACCAAAAATACTCTTCTCCCAACTTACCTTTATAACCCATGCCGAAATCTGGGTCCAAGAAGATGTCTCCCTAAAAAAAGAAGCAAAAGGAATGTTAATTACGTTCCTAAAGACAAAAAAAAAAAAATACACTTCCCCATCTTACCTTTATAACTCAAGCCGAAATCCAGGTCCAAAAATACGTCCCTCTAAAGAAAAGAAGTAAAAAGGAACGTTAGTTACGTTCCTATAGAGTTTCGATCCTATTTTTTAAAGCAATTCAGATAGAATCCAGATTCTAAATTTGACCTTAACTCTGACCAAAATTATAATTTTGACCAGAATTAGTATTAAACGTCAAAGATTAATAATTGTCTGCAAAATTTGCTAGCTCTGGCCAAATTTATAGTGCTGGCTCAAATTAATAAAAACAGATTCATCTGTTACAAAAAAGTAAGATCCAGATGTCCAAAAAACAAGGGAATCTGGATTTGAATCCGGATTGACCAGATCCAGATCAAAACCCTACGTTCCTAAAGACAAAAATAAAAAAAATACACTTCCCCATCTTACCTTTATAACCCAAGCCTGAGATCCAAGTCTGGGAAGGCGTCCCTCTAAAGAAAATAAGCAAAAAGGAACGTTAATGACGTTCCTAAAGACAAAAAAACAAAATACCCTTCATCCAATTTACCTTTATAATCCAAGCTAAAATCAAAGTCCAAGAAGGCGTTCCCTAAAGAAAAGAAGTAAAAGGAATGTTAATTACGTTCCTAAAGACAAGAAAAAATAAAAAAACTCTTCCTTCAACTTACACAGGTAAAACGCTGACCAATCGGGTACCTACCTGATTGGTAACTTTTTTTTTGATCGGTCACCTGATTTATTCAATAGTTAGAAATTGGTGTACACTTCAATCGTTTATCAATCAGGTTAATACCCGATTGATAACTATTGTTCAGTTTAAATTTACTGATTGATTTCTATTGTTTCAATTAGACTATTGATAAACTATTTTTCTTTAACTAAAATTAAACTATTTTATACTATTGAAATTTACACTAACATTTTTTTCGAATATTTACTTTTGAAACTTAAAAAAAAGTTTAAACTATTTCATACTATCTTTAACATTTTTTTTCAAACATTTACTTTTGAAACTTTTAAAAAATTTTTTTTTTTAGGAAATTGGTTCCGATTTGGATACCAGAATCCCACAAAAGTTTCAAACATTTTATTTTCGAAACTTTATTAAACTGAAAAAACCATTTATTTGAAGATATTAATAAACGATTTTTAACATTTTTTTTTAACATTTTATTGTAGGGAATCGGTTATAACGAATCCCATAGGTGAGTTTCAAAAAATAATTTTTTGAAACTCACTTTTTTTTTTAATATTCAATTGTAGGGAATCGGTTATAACGAATCCCATAGGTGAGTTTCGAAAAATAATTTTTCGAAACTCACTTTTTTTTTAATATTTAATTATAGGGAATCGGTTATAACGAATCC